ATATATATATATATATATATATATATATATATATATATATATATATACACACATACATACACAATATGCATCATAGATTGTGATTAATATATTCCCTATTTACTTAAGACAAATTCACATAACCAGTTCAAATGCTTTTTTTTTTTGCCTAACCTAATATAATGTCACAGTTGGGTATTTTAGAATGAAACTTAAAAGGTTTATCGTTACTTGAAATAAATTCCAAAACTGTACATGATAAACGCCTACAAGCCTACAAACCCTGTTATGTAAAAAAAACCTAACCTCTAAAACAAACAAAAGTAATTAAAAGTCAGAATAAAAGTAACCTCCACATAAAAGCCGTTTTATTGAAAGCTGCTACAGGAAATGAGTGAGTGGCATCATGTGAATCAGAGATAAACCGTCGTCAGTATAACTAACAACATTATCTCTGTAATTCCTCTGAGACATTCTCCTCGTTACAACCACACGCTTCCATTACTCAATGCAAGCAGACAAATGACCAGTTCAGCTGAAATGTGCTTTACAACGATCCAACTAAAGCAGCTTCAGGTACTTTCTTCTACATACATCCAATAACACAGTTTCACTCCTTTCTGCAGCTTTTTCTACTGACATAAAACACTCGATACAATACTTAAAATAATTTGTAAAAAGACAAAAATGTGTGCAAACAAGTTGTGCATCATGCCCTTAATTTAGCCGTTTATGATAAGTTTCTGCCCAATATTTCAAAAAGGTTAAAAACACTAAGTGTGAGCTCTTACCGGATAGCCCTCAGTCTTCTTTTGGCACCATCTCAACAAAGCGTTCCTCTTGGAGCCTCCATATTCCCTTGCCAGCGCTGACAGTGGGTCCTTTCTTTCCTCTCTGAGACAAAACACAAAAACAAAAACAGCAGCAACATTTCAAAAGATTTACTAGGTCCCAAAAACAAACAGGAGAAACTAGTAGACTAAGTACACATCACATGATTTCACATGATGTCTGCACAGTGTTCTAACAACAACAAGGTGTTGTGTGTCTCTGGATGAGCTCAACTTGATCATATTTAGACTCATACTGAGCAGTAACTGGACTGTGATAAATGTAACTTAATAAATGATTGAATGTGAAAAATAAACAGGGTCTTCTGACCTACAGACAGAAGCTCAAGTGTGCCAAGCCTGTGGTCAGTACTGTGCAGAGGTGGACTAGCGAAGCCAAAGGGAGGCTCCAGGACTGTATGGACCAACTAACTGGTGTGTTTGATGAGCTACCAGCAGACTGGACGAACACACGCACAGTGACATCTTATATTGGCTTCTGGGAGGACACGTGTTCCCACCTGGACTTGCAGTAAGTACAACAATGACAAGCCCTGGTTTACTGCCAAACTGAAGCAGCCGCGCCGGTCCAAGGAGGTGACATACACGAGTGGAGAGTGAGTGTTGTACAATAAGGTAAGCAACACACTGAACAAAGAAATCAAACTGATAAGAAGAACTACTCCAGAAAAAGTTGGCGGTCAACCTGATTGTACCATACCACTTTATTTATAAAGCACTTAAAACAGCAACAAGGCCAACCAAAGTGCTGTACAGACAGAACAACAGACAACACATGAAGCAAAATACAAAATGACGTAAATCAGAGGTAACTTGTGTCAAGAAGTTGTCCGATGGACAACCTGGACATTTTCCTTATGTCTGATGTCCCTTTCTTATGTCCCTGATTAGAAAATGTCATCATCTACAGTTCATTATATTGTCAGAAGATGTCTGGAGAAAGGCAATAATGGATGCTTGTGATCCTCGGACCCTCAGGGGTCCCTGCATTAAAGACAGGATAGTTGTGGGCATCACTGCGTGGGTTTAGGAACAAACCATTGTTCATAAACACAGCTCACCTTCACATAAGCATATTCTAGTTAAAGCTCAATCAGGAAGAGCAGAAGTCATACATGAACACCACCCAGACATGCAGCCGTCTTCTCTGGACCAAAGTGAATTTATTTTTAACTGAGGCAGAGTAGAAAACTTTTCTGTGATCAGGCAAAGAGAAACTTGAAACTATTTGGAAACCACTGACACTGTGTCCACCGTACCAGAGCAGAGGGACCAGTCAGTCTGTGATCCGCCTACAGTTTAAAAGCATGCCTCTCTTATAGTATAGGGGTGCATTAGTGTCTCTGACATGGGCATCTGGAAAGGCACCATCAATTAAGACAAGTATATTCAGGTATTAGAACATAGGCTCCCATCCAGATGAGGTCTTTTTCAGAGAAGGCCTTGCATATTTCAGCAGGACAATGTTGAACCACATACAGCATTCAGCAGCAGGAGACCAGGTTTCTGAACTGACTTGTCTGCGGTCCAGACCTCTCACAAACTGAAACCTTTGGCACATTACCTATGTTTACATGCACACATTTTTTTGACTGGATTGAAATGTTTTCAGATTAAATAATTCAAATGTATTGTTCACATGGGCACAATCTGTTCATGACGAGCGTTTACATGCAGCGGGCTTTGTTCTGAACAGCAGTACTGACATGTGCAGAGTGGTAAACTTAAAAAAAAAAACACAGAAGAAGTTCTACTTCCGGGATGAACGTAAACAAACCTGAGCACCCAAAATGGACCCGCATCAGGTTTTAATGATGGTGGAGACGTTGCTGCACTCCCTGACTGAGGTACAGGCGATGCAGATCATTTTGAGCTCTTTCAAAGTTTCTAGTAGAAATGTTGTATCCCTCACCGACCTGTTTTACTTCCCTGGCATGCTAATATTATTAGCATTAGCCAGGTGGAAATGACAAAGTCGCACATACGCAGTCAGGTCAGTTTTTCATGATCAGATAAAAACGAACAGATCAAGTGTTTACATGCGCTTCGGGTTATGAATAGACGTAAACCACCCGTTTCGTTCTGATCACTAATTATTTTGGAGCACGCTGAATAAACAAAAAATAATCCGGACAGGGTGTTTACATGACGCATTTTTATTCCGAACGGCCGTTTGATCCGATTACTTATGTCCATGTAAACATAGCCATTGTGAAACAAACAGGAAGTGGTCTCCTCAGTTCCTTCACGCTGGACTCGGATTCTCTTATGATGGAAAACAATGAGTTGTAGCTTTTTGAGAACATTGTCACCATCAGAGTATGTGTTGTGAATGACACTCAGCTCCCAAATCAAATTTTAGAATATTTATGGATTAGAGCCATCCACTCCTAAAGCTAATCAGGTGTAGATGCACATAAAATAAAAATAAAAATGGACTGATGGGTGGATATTGTGTCAAAGCATTCAAAATAGCACAAGACACAGTGAACTCTGTACCTTAGGCGACTGCGGGTTGTGGGGGTGATGGAGGCTGTGGGGGAGGAGGAGGATAATGAGAGTGGAGAGGAAGCTGCATTCATAGCCATCAGGGAGGTTGAGGAGGCTCCGTCTGAAACTGACATGTCCCTCTTGACGTCCTCACTGCATCTGCGTGACACTATCCATGACAGACGAGTCAGTTACAGGCGCCGCTTTCTTCCTAACTCAACTGCAGCAGAACATATTTAAACTGTTTAAAATCCCCGCTGACCTGAAATCGTCTTAGTGGAGTCAATGTTGGAGACCCTCTGGAGGACAGGAGGTGGTCGACTGGTTGAGGCTCCCCTGAGAAGGTGCTCTGCTGTGGGTACAGCACGTTTCATTACTGTGTGACAAACTTTATGACGGGTTTCCACTGAAAAACTGATTTAACAGAGGTCAGAAAAGAGCCACATTCCAGTCCCTGTGAGTTCAAGGAATACCAACAAAAGGCTGATTCACATAGCAAGAAAACAATAAATTATGGAAAAGTAAACAAGACTGCAGGCTATGGCCAAGACTGCACGTTCACATACAACACTTGAACTCATTATAGTTGAGAATAAACCAAAGCCTCCTCATTTCCTTCTTTTAGTTCTCTAAACAATCAAGAAACACGCAAACTCCCAACTTGGGCCTTTAGAAGAGCAGTCCTTTAATGGCATGAGACAGGAAACCATCCATTCTATTTATTTTAATGACACAGACCCAGCAGTAGACAAAGTGTCACGAAACATCTCGCATATGTCCAGTTTAGACGGAAATGTGTTTAACACTTTCACACACAGCTGAAACCAGATATTTACGAGAGTTTGTCCATTCACTCTGTATTTGACCGTGTTCCTACACTGTGGGGAGGGGGGGTCCGCTGCTACAGGTCATTCAGTTCCTATACAAGCAGGGGTGGAAAGTAGTGAATTACATTTACTCAAGTAATGCAATTATGAATTTTGTGTACAGTATTTTCCAGCATATAAGTCGTAGTTTTTTGCATAATTTACATGCCCTGCGACTTATAGGCCGAAGCGAAATACTTAAATGCCCCCCACTGCGCTTTCAATAGCTGCCCACTGCACCACCTGATGGTGGATGGATTAAATGCAGAGACTAATTTTGCCATTGTATGGAAACATACAGTGATGACATTATTATTATTATGGATTTTCCCCCCCATATTTATAAACCATTTTTTTGGCTGAGATACGACTGTTTTCATTCATTCTGACTGAAAAAATTTAAGCAGTACCACTTTCAGCCACTAGATGGCAGCAGAGCAGTAGTAGCTGTAAGGCATGCCGTTGTATCATTTAATAGGTAAACGTGGCTATAATGACAAATTCAAAAAAGTTCAAGACAAAAACAACTGGACTTAATTTATTATACTTTACTTTATACCTTATTGTTTTTTTTTTCTTGAACTTTTTTGAATTTACCATGTCCTGGATGACTGAGAATCTTCACCAGCTATTAATGACACGATCGGCCTGCCACAGTCTCCTCACCTTGGTTCTGCTCCTGCTTGTACCGACCATCAAACCAGCTGCACCGCCCTGGCAAGATGCAGCTGATTTGACCGTCAAAGTGCATTTATTAAGGAAAAGTTCAACTGAGACACACCTTTACTATAATTTTGAGCAAACAAATAATTGTTTTTGTGTTAATCTTGTTCAATTCTTGTTGAAGTCCTCCAGTGCATGCTCCCGCGGCCATCATTTGGCAGCCAATCAATTTTTGGCACAACACCGGCCCACATTTCCATGTTGTCAGCGGTGACGCATAATAGATACGACTTGTACGGCGAAGTGACATTTATGGATTTTTCCACTTTATTAGACAAATATGGACTGATGCGACTTATAGGGCGGTGCGACGCGTACGGCGGAAAATACGTAATTATGAATTTTGTATAATTTGTAATTATTCTCATCTATGTTTTTATTTGTATTCAAGCATGTTTTATTTGAAGTATTTTACATAATCTAGGCTTTCCCAAATTGTCCTAAGGAATATTAAGCTGAGTGTATGTAAAAAGTTAACTTTAAAAAAGTAATAAAACAAATATTCTTGCAAAATTCAGACAATTAAAACAGAAATAATTTTGGGATTCCCAATAGACCTAAAATATGAAAGATTTGGTCTGATTTAATGTCAGACAGTGAGAAATGGTTGTGTGCCTTTTTATACAGAGCATGTATAATGGGTTTCAGTTCCTGCAAACACAAATAACAGAGTGTTTACATAAAGAATGGGAGAAAACAAGGAGTATAGATACCTGGCATGGTTATATCTGTGTAGCTGGGTCTCTTGTCACTCAAGGCTGAGAGAGGTTTGTTAGCTGATATAGAGGCTGTTACAGTGAGTCTCTGAAACAGAAAACACATAAAGGCTCAAATACATAAAGGAAATCATGTATAGTTGACTGAGGCAGAGAGTGTGGACGCTGTCTGTCTTAATAATCCTGATAACAACAACTTTATACTCTTCTGTGAACAACAAGTCTACACATTAGGCTTCCAAGTATAAATATATTACCCACCACCAGAGGTGAAAAGACAATAATGTTTCTGCCAAAGACTGTGTGTGCGTTCACGTCATTGGTGTTAACAAAATATCTTGTAAACCACTAGACAGATCCAACATTTTTCAGTCAGGTCATCTGGACAGTTTCTTTTTTTGTGCTGAAAGGTTTCGCCTTCGATCCGGAAGGCTTCATCAGTCAAGGAAACACACAACAAAACTGATTTTATACCTGGATTATTGAGCATGGACTTTGTCACTACACAGATCTTATTAAAACTCTCAAAGAAATCATTGAATGAACAACTACAATAGGTTATTTTGTTTCCAGTCATATTCACAACCAGTCAAGATGACCTTTACAGCGAAGACACCTTAACCAACGTCAAAATGGCTCAGACTCAGTGGTAGTCGCTGAGAATAATCCAAAACTTGCAATCAACTCTTAGAGTCAGCCATTGTCTGTTAGCAAAAGACATCATGAAAAACTGGATGGATTTTAATTAAACTTTTGGAAACTAATTATTTGATGTACATCTGCAACTGATTACGTTCTGAAGTAAACCCAATTCAAATTGTCCACTGCAGAGAATTCACACTAACTAACAAACAACGACTATAATTCAGTCAGTTGTACAGATATTGAACTGAAATTTGATGTGGTAGTAACTGAGTTACTAGTTAGTAACAACACATACTTTGGGATAATTACTGCATGAACTAGTACCGGTACATAACATTATTTTCAAGGTCTACTTTGCATCATAAGATGATCTTCGTGTAAAACTGGTATAAAAAGGCAGCGGGGGGAGCCCTTTAATTAATACTGAACTCGTGTTTAGAAAGGGTTTGTGGTGTCATAAGAGACTACACACCAGAAAATTATGTCAGCATCAGCATAGTAATAAAAGCCCTTTACTCCAGTACCTGTATGGGTGAGACAGCAGCAGCTGGGGGAGTCTTCATGGGACTGGGACTGAGGGGGGTCCGAGGTAAAGGGGGAGCCGAGGCAGTTGGAGCCACAGACGCACCATTGGCAGGCGGACCTATATAAACAAGACAAACATCTATAAGTGAAACAAACCAAGATTACTTGCGTTGTGTTATCAAAGCTTGACTTTTTAAAGACAGGGCACAGAAATAAAGCGACAAATAAGAACTATTTTCCAGGTTGTCGTACCTTGTGAGGCACTATCAAAGCTCTTGATGAGTGTTTTCACAGTGGGGGAGGGTTCAGAGGAGGTGGAGGATCTCCGGCTGAGCCCCATGCCCTGTCTGAGAGCAGCCAGGTCTCTTTCCACAGCGTTCATGTAGTTGTACACTCTGCCTCTTTCCTCCTCCTGCCTGAAAACACAGTTCAAGCACATTCTCAGGACTCCCCCGTGAGGTCAGTTCCACTGAGGCCATTCAGTGTCAGACCGTTTACAGACGCGTTTATAAAGGTCCCACGTGCTTGTTTATAAACCATCTGACAAGACATCATCAGGTCAGCGATACCAGAGGATATATTTCACGTCAGTCTGAAGGTCTTACTTGCGACTCTTGACCTCTTCCAGCTCTTTGCTCAGTTTCACATTTTTCTCCTGGGCTTCCTGCAGACGGCGCCGCAGATCTCCTATTTCTTCCTGCGCCTCTGACTTGATGTCATTAGCAATGACAACAGCCGTCTGCAGATCGGCCTGGAACTGGCGCCACTCCATCGACTCCTCCTGCACACCATCACACACACCAGCAGGTGGATGAGCATTATTCTGATCATTTACAGCACAGGTGTCAAACTCAATGCCCGGGGGCCAAATGTGGCCCTCTTTGACATTTTATCTGGCCCCCCAAGATGATGAGAAATGTAAAATACTTTTGTCACTTGAATTTTTTTCAGTAATCTTTGAATATGATGTCAAATGCACCACAAAGAATGTCAAATGAGACCAATCAAACTCTTGCTGAGGAACCTCTGACCAAGAAAAGATGTTGGGTATCTAACTTGAGTTAATGTAGTTTCTGAAATTGGCTCTTAGTTTGAAAAAGGTTTTAATTTTGGCCCCATTTTATAATTGAGTTTGACACCCCTGATTTACAGTGTTGTCATTTTTTACAAACTACTTGATTTCTGAATGAGTTCCAGCAGAAACGCTTCATTTAAAGAAACTGTTCTCTGAACTGCCGATGCTCCTTAAAATTGGTGTTTTATTAAAGCATTGCAGAACAAGAGTGAAATGGTTCAAAGCTGTGGTTAATGGAGCCTCGAAAACCTGCATCACCTTGAAGACCACAGGAAAAAACATCTAGACTATTTCTGAATCCCCAATATGCAAAATATGTAGTACCCAAGGTTGCAGTACAGTTGTAATGGGGGCACCCTTAATGATGTCACAGTTCAGATAAACTCTGCATCATGTCTACAGGACAGAAATCCAGAGAAGGCATTTTACAGACATCGTCTTAAAATTATTTAAAAAAATAAATAAATAAACAGAAGGAAATTCAATATTTGGCTTGCAAAATCAAGAAAGTAGATCCAGAAATTCTACTGAAGGGACTCTGGTTGATATTCACATGTGAAAGAGGCTAAATGCTGCAACACTATTAGAGATCCAGACTGTTGCACTTGAAGGAATGTAGAGAATAAAGACCACATGAATGGGAATTGTTCCGTCTTAATTTAGTAGTAATTCTGGAGATGTTTTAATCAGAGAGTTAATTTCTGCTTATCAAAAAGCAAATCTCAGCTTAATGCACAAAATTTAATCTGATGAGAGCGCACATCCAAGGTGTTATATGGATATGTGCTGTTGGAGATTAATTAATGAATTTGATGAAAAGCAATTCAGTTAAATCAAAACATGTTTGAGAATGAGAGCAAATCCAATCCAAGTTAAAAAAAAAATCTCCCGAGGACAGACCATACATCCATTATCTTTACTCGCTTCTTCCTTTTTGGGTCTTGGGGGTCACTGGTGCCCATGTCCAGCCTTCACTGTGCGAGAGGTAAGGGACACCCTGGACAGGTCTCCAGTCCAACACAGGGACACATAGAGACAAACAAAACAAACAACCATTCACTCTCTCACTCACACCTAGAGACAATTTAGAGTTACCAATCAGACTAACATGCATGATTTTAGTCTGTGGGAGGAAACTGGAGTACCCGGAGAAAACCCACGCATGCATCAAGAGCACATGCAAACTCCACTCAGAAAGGCCCCTAACTGGGATTTGAACCGGCGACCTGCTTGCTGAGAGGCAGCAGCTCTACCAACTGCACCGCTGAGCCACCCCTGAGGACAGACCTCATCAGTAATTGTTCTTCTACTGTACGTCATCAGATAGGTTAGAAATAAACATTCGGACTGAACACCTTGCTTTATGTTGGAGGATAATTCTAGAACTTTAGGGTACACAAAGCCTGTTACCATGGTGACAGATTCAGAGTTTATCTAACTTACTAACATAGTTACTAAGGTTTCTCATAAGCATCCTCCTGATATGCTCAGCTGCCAGCTGATGGTGGAGGATACAAGTTGATTAAAACAAACTGTTGATATTTGAGTGTGAAATGCAGGTGGCCATCTTTTAATGTACTGGGGTTTGTTTTGTTTGACAGTATAAAACACAGATAATCAAAGGTCTTCACCTCTGATAGGACCACACGCTGGACAAATGTTAGTACAAAGTCTGAACAGGGTCACGCGCAGTGATAGTTGGATATGGGCACCAGTGACCCCATGATCCGAAGTAATCCAGGTAAAGATGATGGATGGATGGAATAGTTACACATTATATAAAAATAAAGACGTAAAGACACTTTATTGTCAATCTACACATCCAACCATCCTCTTACTCTTACACTTGTCCTCATTTGGATCAAGGGGTGCTGAAGCTAATGGAAAGCTGAACTCTGTTCAACCACATGGAGTGCACACGTGTGACGGCAGTCTGGTGCTGCTTCACAGATGAGGACGGACAGCAGAGGATTGTGGGGGGTGAACCTCAGCTTTAGCTTTTTAATTTTCACATTACAAGTTGACATTTGATCGTTTCAACCCATATATTGTGCATGACAGCACAATGACTAATACATGATCATTTATTGTCATGCATGATAACATTTTAGCCTCGACTCCTTGTCTTTTAGTTTAGACTGCAACCGATGTACGTCATCACCCAGAATGCACTGAACCAGTAAAATAATGGCAACATCCTTAAGTGAAAACTATAATAAACATATATCTTTTTTTTTAATCATTGATGATGTCGTGTTACAAACAACAATTTTTAGCAGAATAAGAAATTAACATTTTAAGGCCAATATGTGCAGGTAGTCAGAGATCCCTTTTAAATTCCTACATGTACTCAGACTTTGATCGTGTTGGTTAACAGTAAAGTTTACTGCAAAACAGTTACATACTGGAGCATTTGCTTACCCTCAATCTGCGATGAAGAGTTTTAATCTCTTTTTCCATGTCATGTTTGTGATCTTGCAGCTTTTTTACAGAATCTGAAACAAATAAGAAATATCAGATTTGTGATTTGATCACCACCATCCTCAGCCAGCAGCTTTGAACTGAGCCTGTTAGAGCTGGGTGGCTCCAACACAATAAGGGCTTTATAAATGACTTTGGTGACTTCTTGGCTGAACTTGTGTCTAAATATGACACGGTTCTTATTGTTGGGGATTTAAAGATTCATGTGTGTTATGATTTGTCAAAGGTTAAGACATTTTTTAAACCTCATTTGACTCTTTTAATCATGTGCAGTCTGATGCTGATCCCATCAGGAACATCATCACACACTTGATCTGGTTTTATCTTTTGATCTACCTTTTTATCTTAGAGGTTTGTGGCACAGTAATTTCATCAGCTCATATGTCTGTTCTATTTAATTTAATACGATGCCCTCACTTTGACCAGTCAAACTATGCACTGCTGCTCAGCTCTGCCATGTTTAACTCCACTTCTGTAGTCAGTTTTCAGATGGTTTTAAATCCCTTTTTAAAACCCATCTCTCCTCCATGGCTTTTTACACCATCTGAGATGTTGACTTTTAGTTTAATGTTAGCTCATGTTAATTGATTTTTGTTGTGCTTTTGTTTTAATTATGAAGCTGTTTTGCTCTTTAGGCTTCTCCTGTGTGTTGCGACTGCTGTTGGGTTTTATTGATGAACTGTACAGCACTTTGGTCCTGTGCTTGCTCAAAGTGCTTTCAATAAATCTGGTATGGTACTTGTAGTATTTAGGTAGTTAGCCGTCTTTAGCAGCAATATCTTGAGGTAAAGTGCAGTCTCAAACTCTTTCTCCCTGCTGCTGAAGGAAAAATGGCCTGTTTTTGTTTATCCTGCTTCAGTTCATTGTGGCAAAGAGACAAATGTTTATGGTCATCTCTCTAGGCCAGGGGTGTCAAACTCACTTACAAAAGGGGGCCAAAATTAAAACCTTTTTCAAACCAAGGGCCAGTTTCAGAATCTACATTAAGTCAAGTTAGATACCCAACATCTTTTCTTGGTTGCAGGTTAATCAATAAGAGTTTGATTGGTCTCATTTGATGTTCTCTGTTATACTTTTGACATCATAATCAAAGATTACTAAAAAAAAATTAGAAGTGATAAAAGTATTTTACATTTAAAATAACATCTGGGGGCCAGATAAGATGTCAACGAGGGCCACATTTGGCCCCCAGGCCTCGAGTTTGACACATATGTTCTAGGCCTTTTCACAAAACGGTTCCATTGCAGTCCTGCATGCTTCTGCAACTCACAAAAAACAAACAAACAAAAAACAGCAAATGTTGTGAGACATTCCATCATGATCGTCGTTTACCAATTAGACGCAGCCCAGAAAGATACTACTTGAAGGGATCCTATTCATAAACTTCATTATTCATAAACAACAATAAACTCAAGCCAAAGAAGCAACCTGGAGATAAAATGTCACAAAAACTAGCTTCACGTGTCAAACTCATGGCCCAGGGGCCAAATATAGCCCTTTTTCACATCTTTTCTGGCACCAAGGATGTTTTAAATGTGAAATATTGTCATCGCTCCTCATTTTGACTAAAGAAACTGATAAATACTTCATTTTGTGCAGACTTCTTTCTCATGAAGTTGGTCAACTTTGAAGCCAGAGGAAAGTTTGGATTTTTCAGTAATCTTTTATTTTGATGTGGAAAGAGAACAAACAAATGAGACAGATGAACTAAGAAAAGATGTCGGGGTTTTGACTTGAGTATCAACTAAAATTGCTCCGTAGCTTGAACCAAGCATTTAATTTTCCTCGCTTTAGTAACAAGTTTGACACCCCTGCGACTGACTGCATCATTTGACATGAAAATGTAGAAATGAAAAACAACAAGTCTGGTGATTACATCAAGGTTGCACTTAGGTTACAGTTTATTTTTCCAGCTCACTTACTCTCAAAGTCTGAAATAATGAGGTTGTCGTGGAGTTTGAGCGCTCTGTGCTGCTCGACTTCATCTTCCAGCTCAAAGATGGTTTCCTTCATGTCTGCAATCTCTGAGTCTTTCTCCTGCAGCTCCAGGCGCTGCTTCTCCAGAGCGCGCTCCTGCTCGGCCATCTGCTGCTGCACCTGCTCCTGGAAGTCTCTGTACTCTCTGTTCAGCTGCAGACACAGGATGAAACGTGTCTTTTACCAAATCACCTACAAGAGTTGAGACAATCAGGTGACCAATGTTGGCAGAAGCCTCAACTGATGTCTCATGATTTTCTTAACAAATTCATTTTACATCTTGAATAAACTTTTGTACATTTTGTACACAGTTGGCTTCTTTTTATTTCAGGACTTCATCTAAACTTTACTACCAGCCTCCAAGGTTTACCTTACTGAGAGTCTCCTGCAGCTGGTTGAGTTCTATATGCGCTTGTTCCAACTCCTCCTGCATCTTTGCAGCTTTGGCTTCAGCCTCCTCTTTGCCCAGCCGCACCCCCTCCAGCAGCTGGCAGATGTCGTTCTTGTCCCCCGCAGTGTGAAGAGAGTACAGCTCGGCCACCCTTTGCCTCTCTTGGTCCAGCTGTGCTCTGCAGCGACTTAGGTCTGCCTGGTCATTGCTCACCATCACCTTGTACTCCTCCAGCGCGGCAGCCAGGGTAGCTCGATCCCGTCTCTCCGACTCCAAGATGCGCTCCATCTGGTGGTTCCTCTCCTTCAGAGCTCCAATCACATCCTGGGCCTCAGCATTGTCCTGCTCGGCCATCTTCAGCGTGTTGGACAGGTGCTGCTGCACTCCCAGCAGCTGCTCTCTCTCAAAGCGGGCGTTATCTGCCAGGTCTGCGTATCGCTGCTCCAGCTCCAAATAGCGACCACTCTTGATATCCTCCTCCAGAGCGTACGATATATGATGTTCTTCCAGCAAGGAGCGCAAGTATTCAATTTGTCGGCCGTAAAGCTCCAGCTTGTCACTCTGCTGGCACAAGGAGTCCATGAGGATGACCTTCTCCTCGCCAAGCCGCTCGTTCTCTCCATTCAGCTCCTGCGTGATTTGCTGCAGGTCAGCCAGCTCCTGTAACGTGGCCTGAAGCTCCTCTGCAGTGCTGTGCTGGTTCTCCTCCATCTGGTGGATACGCTCTGTCAGACAAGCTACTGACACCTCGCTGGCATTGCCGCTGCTGCCCCTCCTGGAGCGCTCCGTGCTCGCAGCGCACTCTGACTCAGATGACGAGGAAGCTCCAGAGGGGGCGTCCAGAGCGTCATCACTGGAGGTGACAGCTTGGTAGACCTCACTGGATTCACTGTCGAGGTTGTCTGCTGAGCCTCCATGCTGGTGTCCCGTGAGCAGATCCTCTAAAGAGCCGGGGGCGGAGCCCTCCACTGATGATGTCAGCGTACCTGTGCAGCCACCGTCACTGTGTGCACTGTTGGTGACCAGGTCTGGACTCAGTGAGGAGTAGCTGAAGAGCTTGTCTGAGCCGTCCAGCCTCTGTTCCAGAGAGAACCCCAGCGCGTTGAGTCGGTCTTTCAGCATGCGGTTCTCACTCTTCAGCAGGTTGAGCTCCTCTCGAATGGCCTGGTTCTGTTCTTGTAAGAGAATTAGGGTGGACTCCACATCAGCTGCTGTGATGGCTGAAACCTGAGGCTTCGCCGCCTCTCCAACTTCTTCCTGCGGTGTCGCATCTTGACCCTCAAGGCCAAGCTGGGCCCTCATGTCCCTCAGCTCACTGCGAAGGTGAAGGATCTCCACGTCTTTGCTCTTCGCCAAGCCAAGCAAATCTTTGACTTTGGTCTCTAGAGCCACCTTATCACTGATCTGACCGTCTGATTTGGACTTGCTCATCCGACCCTCCGACTCCGTCAGGATCAGACTCCGGGAGCGTTTGCCTGAAGCCACATCTCCTGCTCCGATTCCTGAGCCCAGCTGCTTTTTAGCAGCTGAAGTCCTCGATGTTCGCAGACGGTCTCGAGACGAGTTTGGTTCTTTGGAAGATGCTGATGTTGTACGCTTGGACAGAGAACCTATGTAAAGAGAACGGTACATTTATAATTTAAACTACAACAACTCATTATTATTACCTGCTACAAAATATCTCATGAACCCCTGGATGAAGTTTATTAAAACTCTCAGAGTAATCGCTGGATGTTCGTCTACAACTGATTAACTTTGGCAGCAATTCCAGTTTAAGATGGTCCCCACAGCTTATCAACATTAGCTATAACTCAGTCACTTACACAGAAATGAATCTTTATTTGTGGTAGAAGCTGACATTCATCCACAACAACACATATTTTGAGCATGACATCTTGTGTGTTATTTTCAAGCTTTGACCAAAACAACGTCATCATTTCTCAACCCAAGATGTTCTTAGTCTAAAGCTCTGACGTGAAAACATTCCTTTAAGGAGCGTAGCCCTTGATTTTACAGATGTAATGTCAGATACCTGATGCTGTCTTCGATTTGTTTTCTAGATTACCAGCACTTCCAACAGAAGCAGTCTTCTTGGTCTTAGTGACAGTAACGCTTGATGCAGGATTCCCTCCAGCCATAGCTGCTAACAGATCGTCATTGCTTTTCACCTAAAAAAACAAAATCAACATGATCTCACACAAACACATAGTTTAAATTACATTCAGACAGATCAGCTGATGTATCGGCCATCATGTGATGAGTTTCACCTTAGACAGAGGAGCAGTGGTGATGCTTTTGCCTGCAGACTTTCCAGTGCCAGCGGAGGAAACGGCCTCAGACTTCCCTCGGTCTCCACTGACCTTACTCACCGCTGGCCGGACCGACTTCTTCATACTGAGCTCTCTGATGCAGACACATTTACAGCTTGGGCTGTGGACAAAGGAAGGTGGGAGGAGAACAGAAATACTCATCAGTGTGGAAAGTGTCTCAGTTTTCCATGAGGGGGATTCTTTCCAGGGTACTAATCTTTCACTGAGACCACATAAAGTTGCACACATTTGAAAACCTTCCTCAGATATTCAAAATCTGGGAAGGACAGTAAGTGCTACATGACCCCACTTTTTTTTTTAATCCTAACTGCTACAATAGTTATTTAATAAAGATGGTTAAAAAAACATGTTCCATGGCAATCACGGCAATAAAGGTGTCTGGTGATATCATTTCAAAATGATTTTCTTGTCTTAATTGCAGAAACATTTGATAGTAAACAAATGAATTCAGGATAAAAGCCAAACTAAAAGTGTCCAGAGATGAACCAAAACCTCCACCAGATGGCTCCTGTATGTTTGTAACAATGGTTCTAGTTCACTTGCATTGACCTGTCACCTGCAACAACACTGTACTGATAAACACCTTATTGTTGTTGTAAGTCTGAGCTTTACACACAGCAAAAAATACGGCAGAAAAAATATCTTTCTAGTTTTTTTTCTAGTGTTCAGCTACAGAGCCAAATAAGGAAAACTAAATTCCTTCACAGATCAAACGCTTGAAGCATAAAAACTGTTTTTTGAGGAGGGGGGAGATGAGTTACCAAACAAAGCTTTTCATCCCTGCCAAAAAAATTTTGTTTAGTGCCGCTTGTGCAAGTCACTGAGTCTTAATTTTATTAAAAAATAAATAAATAAAAGAAAAATCCTGAAAACAAAATGAATCTGAGCAGACTCTTTGGCGGTGGGCTACGTATTTGATTAGTAACATGTTAATTCTCTTAGACCTACTGGAATTTCAATATTCACAATAAACTCATTTATCATTTGGCAGCAACAAGGTGTTAATTCTGCCTTGGAGTATTTAAAAAGAGTTTGTGAAAAAACAGCCATGCCATGACAGAAAGAAAATACATTTGGGACACAAAGTATAAGAAAAACTTGGATGGATTAGAGTTTTATTAAGATAAAAAAAAAAAACTGAGCTAAAGTGATTTATTGTACACAGGAAAACTAAGTACAATCTTCATCTGAGTAAATACTCTGTTGTTTCCCCTCAGCAGGAAAACATTGTTTGGATATGGACATGAATATAATCAAGCACAAACGCATTTCAGACTTTCAATAGAAAACTCTGACCACCGTCCTCCAACAGAACCACAAAGGTTTCGACCATTCTGTGAGTAAACACATTCAGAGTTTCAGGTGTCTCTTGTAAATGAGTCCTGGAGGCTCAATGAGACTAACCCGTAGAAATAAAGGTTGAATGCACAAGTTTGCTGACACCAAGTGAAATAATTCATTATTTAAATGTATTTAAAAAGCTTTAATTCATAAAGGGCAGCACGGTGACGCAACTGGTAGAGCTGCTGCCTCTCAGCGCGCAGGTCCCTGGTTCAAATCCCGGTCCGGGGGCCTGTCTGGGTGGAGTTGGCATGTTCTCTACGTGCATGCGTGGGTTTTCTCTGGGTGCTCCGGTTTCCTCCCACAGACCAAAAACATGCATGTTAGACTGATTGGTAACTCTGAGTTGTCCCTAGGTGTGAGTGAGAGAGTGAATGGTTGTTTGTCTCGTTTGTCTCTATGTGTCCCTGTGACGGACTGGAGACCTGTCCAGGGTGTCCCCCGCCCCTCGCACAGTGATTGCTGGACATGGGCACCGGCGACCCCCGTGACCCAAAATGGAAGAAGCGGGTGAAAGTTAATGGATGGATGTAATTCATAATAAAAGTCACCTCAGGGTCCTTTACAAAGAAAACGGACAAAAACAACTAAAATCAAATATTTTCCACTTCAACTTAATCAACCTTGTTTCAGTATAGTTAGATTGAGTCCACATATTCCTTCAATAAACTTTTAATTACATAAAAGCTACTGCATAAAGTTTTCTTATTGAGTTTCCCTTTGTTTCTATGCTCTGTCCTGAGCATGAAGGGCAGCAGGTGATATTTACCTGATGATCTTCAGCTGCTCATCAACCATGCACAGCTCACACCTGGGTTTGCTGACAATAAAGGCTAGAAGGTGACAGTGATGTGTACAATGAATAAGAAATGCATTAAAAGCAGCAAAGAGACGTTAAGAAACGAGTGGTAATAACAAGAATTTAAACAGGAAAAAAACAGCTCCACTGAGGTGATGGTGGAAATGCTTTATGGAAAAAGCCAGTGGAAGATCTCCAACCACAGCACTGACGAGCCTGTGGGAGGTAGCGCTAAAGTCTGGGGTCGTTGCTCGTGCAGATGCAAAACTGGAAATACTATTAGTAACTATTATTTTGTTAGTGAAGTTTTGTTTTCTTTCCTGTTTTTGTCATTTTGCTTTGTCATCTGCAGTCCTAGGTGTAAAAAAAACTCACAAATACACAAACAACAGCCTAAAGCCAACGCTACTTTAAAGTTAAATGCATCGTATTTCTTAAATAAATGCAAATCACTTAAGTGTATTTGAAAGGAAAGCTGTATTTTATTTTATTTTCACCCCAGCTTGTACCTTTACATTTTAATACAACTAATCTATATTTTGTTTGTTCCTTTAAAACCTCCTGTGTTTCGGTGCCTCAAAGTGTGATTGCTGGCAGCACGTTCAGTAAATTCTTGTGCAGTGCGTTTTCCCTTTCCATGGACTTGTGCAGTGAACAACGAGCCAGTTTTCTGAATACCTGAATGTGTGTCAGAGCAGATGTCTGAAATGGAGAGCTGCTAGCTGGAGCACAGCCCTTTTCATCATCTCTAAAGAGACGTGGGAGCTGACGCTGGGGACCAGCAGAGCAGCTAAATGGGCCACAGTCAGCAGCTTTGTCTCTTCCTACTCTTAATAAAAGTTGTCTTACCCTGCGTGCTTTGTTTACATCTCATTAATGTTTTAATTTATATTTAACCAATTTGCTCATACACGTCAGTTTTACTAGCCTCAGTTTGGACCACACACTAAATATCCGTTACTTTTTTCTCATTACTGTGGTTCACATCTACATCTGCAAATTACAACATTAGTAACAACTGTGTGCTATAAAATAAAACTGTCCTTGTGACTTCACAACAGAAAGGTAGACTGTAACATTTAAATGCACAAACATTTCTGTATTGAAGCTAAAATAGCTGTCAAAATGTGCAGTTCATTTATTTTCATTTATGTGTATCATCTACACAAGATAAAAATTAAATACACATCATTCACTCCCAAAAGTCTACCCCATAATTGATTGAGCCATAACTTCCTCTCTGAGTGCTAATTGCACAGGATCTGTGTTTAAAACTTTGTTATTAACTTTTGGAAACAGCTCTGTCTGTTAGCAAAACTTCTCATGAACCTCTCGACAGAAATTAATTAAATTGCAATAAGCGATTTTTGGCTGCACATCCATAACTGACTCGAGTCAACCCAATTCAAGATGGCTGCCACATCCCACTTACATTAGAAAACACACGAAAGGCTCCACCTCTGCAGACTTTACAGATATTGAACATGAACTCGCAGTAGTAGTAGCTGAGCATCATCACAAACAATTTGTGCACAACTCGGACTAAACCTTGGCAATAGCTGTTAAAAGTTAACACTATTGGTCTGTTAGCAAAATATCTGTTAAACCACTGAACAAATTTAAGTGAAACTCTCAGAAAGCAAATACTGGATGCACGGTTACATTAACATTTGGAGTCTATCCAAATAAAGATGGCCACTTCAACTAGCTGGCCTTAGCCAACACAACTGTCCATATCTCGTGAATTTTACAGATACAGAGTTAAAGTTTAGTGTGATAGCAGCTGAGAGCATTCACAGCACGTATGACAAACTCTAACCAGTCACGTGAGAGCTCACACTTTCACATGAGATTGTCCATAATTTAAGGTTGAACTAAAACAGCTACATAATTCTCAACGTGAAATTAATTAAGTCTAAAACATTAAGTGTAAAAGAAAGCGGATGGTTTGTATAACTTCAAGCAATGCTTCGTCTTTAATCAACTTTTTTATTTGCATGTGAACAACATGTCAAAGCCATGTGATCTTTTAAATATCAAATGCAAGTTGCTGTGAGCTAAAGAACACTGAAACTCAACCTGAAACCAAGTGGACCCACGGTTCTCCAAGCATTAATAAAAGCAATGGATCCGTCTTAAGATTCCTCTGAAGAACAAGGGAGCAGTGTTGGTTTTATATATTTAAAAACATGGGACTGAAGGGGAAACTAAGAATGAACACAAGGTGGTGGGGGTAATGGTGGTCTTTGAAATACCCCTTCCCTACTCCCCTCCTTTTCTCATGCTTTCGCTGCAGGGAGGCATGTCCTTGCCATAACATTGACTTCCTGCGATGGAGTCTCTCATAAAAAGAAAACAACATTCAAGAGTCAACTCGACAAGGGTGACTGTTTAAGGACAAGGAGGCACCAATCTGCCGAAGACAGAGCAGACGGTCATGCTTTGGATTACCAAAACATACTTTGTTATTCCTAGGCATGGTCAGAATGCAGTTTATCTAACAAGTTTTAAAATGTAGCCTTCAGTCACATGATGTCCACCATCAGTACTTTATTGTCCTGCTGCTAAAGATTAAAGGTGTCCAAACAAAGGCCTTGGTTAATATAATCATGTTCTAACAAACAGAATCAGTACTGCATAAACTATAGTTTTCAGTAAATCATAGCCTTTCCTTTACGAACAGAGAAAATTCACAGAATCATTTTTCTTCTTCCCTGTAGAACAGCACATGGAGGGTCTTCTTCTCAAAGCAAATCAATGATCTAAACAGGACTGTCTAAATAACCAATTTCCCCGAGAAAAGATTTCAAGCTGTGAGTAAAATATTGTTCTTTCTATATACGAATACGTATATAAAACATAAAATGCAATGATTGAATCAGCCTGGCGTCTAGGACAATCTAAAGACTGAGAAGTGTTCAAACTAAAGATTGTTCTCAGGTAACTTTACATCGTTC